TTTCTTTAATTTTCTCAATAATATCTTTTTCAGTAAATTGGCTTGAAAAACTTTTTGCAAGATGCTTAATACTGTTATAGGTTTTAAATAATGACTATCATTTTATTATATGGAATACAGAAGTATAATTAATTTTATCATTTGGATGACCTTATATATAGCAGCATTGCTAAATTAAAAAAATTACTAGTAATTAATTGCAGTTTCTATATACATTGTCATACTATCTGGGTAAATATCTTTGTTTCATCCTTCATCATTTCTGATCTCTTGCAGGGTGAAGATTAACATAAACTATTAAGCATGATGTTTTATATACATTTTGTTAGATTTTTAAAGTCAGTTTCAGTTCAGTTCAGTTCAGTCACTCTGTCGTGTCTGACTCTTTGCGACCCCAGGGACTGTAGCACACCAGGCCTCCCTGTCCCTCATCATCTCTCAGAGTTTGCTCAAACTCATGTCCATTGAGTCGGTGATGCCATCCAACCATCTCATCCTCTGTCATCCCCTTCTCCTCCTGCCCTCAATGTTTCCCAGCACAGGGTTTTTTTTTTTTTCCCAGTGAGTTGGCTCTTTGCATCGGATGGCCAAAGTATTGGAGCTTCAGCTTCAGCATTAGTCCTTCTAATGAAAATTCAGGATTGATTTCCTTTAGGATTGACTGGTTTGATCTCCTTGCATCCCAAGGGACCCTCAAGAGTCTTCTGCAATACCACAATTCAAAAGCATCAATTCTTTGGTGTTTAGCCTTCCTTCAGGTCCAGCTTTCACGTCCATATTTGACTACCGGAAAAACCATAGCTTTAACTAGATGGATTTTTGTTGGCAAAGTAATGTCTCTGCTTTTTAATATGCTGTCTAGGTTGGACATAGCCTTTCTTCCAAGAAGCAAGGGTCTTTTAATTTTGTGGCAGCAGTCACTATCCGCAGTGATTTTGGAGCCCAAGAAAATAGTCTCCCACTTGTTTCCATTGTTTCCCCATCTGTTTGCCATGAAGTAATGGGACAAGATGCCATTCATGATCTCTGTGTTTTGAATGTTGAGTTTTAAACCAGCTTTTTCACTCTCCTCTTTCACTTTCATCAAGAGGCTCTTTAGTTCCTCTTTGTTTTCTGCTGTAAGGGTAGTGTCATCTGCACATCTGAGGTTATTGATATTTCTCCCAGCAATCTTGATTCCAGCTTGTGCTTCCATCCAGCCTGGCATTTCACATGATGTACTCTGCAAATAAGTAGGGTGACAATATAAATATACAGCCTTGACATACTCCTTTCCCAATTTGGAACCAGGCTATTGTTCCATGTCCGGTTTTAACTGTTGCTTCTTGACCTGCATAGAGTTCTCAGGAGGCGGGTAAGGTGGTCTGCTATTCCCATCTCTTTAAGAATTTTCCACAGTTTGTTGTGATCCACACAGTCAAAGGCTTTTAGGGTAATCGATGAAGCAGAAGTGCAGAAGTAGATGTTTTTATGGAATTCTCTTGCTTTTTCTGTGATCCAATGGATGTTGGCAATTTGATCTCTGGTTCCTCTGCCTTTTCTAATTCCAACTTGAGTATCTGGAGGTTCTTGGTTCACGTACTGTTGAAGCCTGGCTTTGAAAATTTTAAGCATTACTTTGCTAGCATGTGAAATGAGTGCAATTGTGCCATAGTTTGAACATTCTTTGGCATTGCCCTTCTTCTGATTGGAATGAAAACTAACCTTTTCCAGTCCTGTGGACAACCACCATCAACAGGAGAATGTTGGATTCCACCAAAAAAAAGATACCCCATATCCACGGGTAAAGGAGAAGCCTCAACAAGATGGCAGGAGGGGATCAATTGCATTTAAAGTCAAACCTTAGACCCATCAGAGATGCTCAGAGGGCACAAACAAAACCTTGTGTGTGCAGGACTGAGGGCAAGGAGCAGTGACTCCCCACAGGAGACTGATCCAGACCTGCCTTTGAGTGTTTGAGTGTCGCCTGTGAGACAGCCTCTCAGATCATTCTGAAGAGCTGCTGTGGAGAAGCATGGTTTTCAGCACAGTTTTATACTTTGTCAGAACAAAGTTCCAAAGTTCATCAAGCAAGTCAGGGAAACATTCCTTCAAGTACCCCCCCACCCCCGCAAAAGATCAGCAGGTATACAGAGTCAGTATGACTTTGATGCCTGGGAAGGGAGTCCTTCCAGCTTTGATGTCCCAAGAACATTTAATCTGTATTTTTAACATTCTTTATTTCTGGTCAGTCAACCCTTTTAAAAAATAATTAAGCAGATCTTCAATGTATGTCTAATAGGCCACAAAGAGGCTGCTTTACTTAATGTAAAATTCAAGTTAAATGAAGTATAAGCCAGAATGATTTCCCCATTCCTCAGTATGTAAAAATTTCTTCCATTAATATCAGTTTATCTATCTATCCACCTATCCATCAACACCTCACTACTTTAGTGTGTATGTCTCATTAACAATGATTTTTATAAAGAGAACAATAATATTTACACTCAAGAGTTACCATGAGTATAATCATATTATCTTATGTACAGCCTATACTTAAAAATTCTTGATTTGCCTAGAATATACTTTATAACTTTCTTTTTTCTTTGCAATTTAGTATGTAGCATAGGGACAAGCATATAATTTGGTTAGCTTTTCCCTTTAGTTTCCTGTTATCAGTTCCCTTTGCTCTGTATTTCTTTCAACATTTAACTTTGTGAAGAATTTAATTTAGTAGTCTTGTAAAATATTCTGCAGGTGATTGTTTTCTAGAAATTAGATTTCAGTTATTATTTGGTTAGACAGCTATGTAGGTGCATTTGTGTGTTCCACTGAAATTCATTTGGGAGGTGGGAATACATAATGTCACCCCATTATTGGTATGGGTTGTTCTTCATATAATAAAGTAGTATCTGCCAGATTTCTCTGTGGGAGACTTTCATTTTTTTTTTACATTTAATTAATAAAAATCTATGGTGTAGTACTTCAGGGCTTTGTAAATATCAAACTTCTTAACCATTCACTCTACAGTTTTAGCATTTATGGATGACACTTGCTTGAATTAATGATCCTATGCTGAATCATTATAAAAAGACTTTTCTAATTTTATCTTTGTTTCCGTTTCTATGCTGAGATTAATCTGTAATGAAATCTACCCTATACTTTCAAATAAGATAATCTGCATGAAAATGATTAACACTAATTGTTGCTCTAGTACTTATTATTATCATTTAAGAGGTTATTTTTGACTAGATCAACTATCTGTTTACAAAAGTACTATGGACAGATAACTTCAAACACTTCAAGTTCCAGTAGTGATTTCCATTTCAAACCATTGTCCACATGTGAGAAGAGTAGAAACTGGTGACAAAGCAGCTGTGGGGGATGGACACCACTGTCCAAATGTGGTGATAAGCAGAATGGACTCACCCTAGGGCCCATGTACTCACTGTTTCAAATGCTTTTGAGATTTACTTGCAAAATCACTGCCACTCTGTTGGGCCTTTAATGGACTGGAACCTGGTGGTCCAGAGTTGACGATGAGAAAGTGAAAGAAGGAAAGAGGCTAATATTCCCTGGGTTACGCAGCTGGCTTTCACGCTCCAGGGAATCAGCCAGAAATAGAGAGATGGAAGAAAGGAAGGAAGGGAGGGAGGAAGGGAGGAAGGAAGGAAAGATACAGGGACCAAAGCTCCGATGGAGCAAAGGTGTTTTAATCAACATGGCGTGGGCATATATACTGTCTTACAATGTAGTTATTCTCAGCAAAGATAAAGATTAAAATTCCAGATTTACAAAACACAAGGCGATCCCTATTAGAGAGAGAAGAGGGTACTTATCACCATAATGAGAAACCAACAAAGGAAATGCCTGGATTCCTCAGCCCTGGGAAAGGGAAAGGCGTGCCTCTCCTCTTAATTCCTGAATATTCAGGAATTAATAAGGGCCAGACGATTCCTGACACCACTCATCTTTAATTTATTTTTGTTTATTACTTGCTCTGTCTGCTGCTATCTTGCTCAAAATGCCACAGCCCTTCTTTAGGCCTAAGATTCCTCATCTATAAATCATAAAATTGGACTAAATGGTTTGCAACATTTGTCCTGCTCCAGGACTTCTGTGTGGTTCAGTTTATGTTCATCTGTTCTTTCCAGGGCACAGATGTATTAACATTGCTGACTTCTGTGCTACATGATGACAAAGAATTCCCCAACCCAGAGATATCTGACCCTGGCCACTTCCTGGATGAGAGTGGCAACTATAAGAAGAGTGAGTACTTCATGGCTTTCTCAGCAGGTAACACAAGTTAATTTTCTTCATCACTTCAGAGAGCAGGATACCTTTTGGGTATCAGTTGGAACTTTCATCCCCACAGTAAGGATGGTAAAAGTGCTTTTTTTGTCCATGATGAGGGGCAGCGATCACAGTGCCCATACACTTTCCCTCCCCTCAATACATCATCATTGTTGGGCTAGGTTACTGGAGCTTGGAGAGGTGACCCAGTTCTTTCAAATTCAGAAATAAAGTTTGAGCTACATTCTGACAATTTAAGAAAAGTGCATCTTAGACAAAAGAAACTCTGTTATAAATCTTTGAAACTTCAAGGTTAATGAAGAGTAAATATACTTAGAGCAGAGAACAGAGACTGTGGAGAATGGAAAGAAACATGTTGGACCATCAGATTAGGAACAGAAAACAGAATGAATATATGTGTGTTTCTAGAAAAAGATTGAACTTGAAAATATCAAATTGCAGCTATAGTATGAGAATGCTTAATGAAGTATGTTGTATAGTGCTGATGCCTCAATAAATGTTTGTTGAAAGAAGGATACCTGTTAAGATAAGATTCAAGTGGATAGCATGTATGTCTACCCTTTGTCTATCTCTCTATCCAGCCATTCTGCCTTCCTTCCATTCACTGAAACATTCATCAAATGCACAGTCTCTTTCTGACAGCCAGAAACACAATGTTCTGTACATATATAAGGAGTCTATGTACTCTCTGTGTTTCTTGTTTCCAGGGAAATGGATGTGTGTGGGAGAGGGCCTGGCCCGCATAGAACTGTTTTTATTCCTGACCACAATTTTACAAAAATTTGCCTTGAAATTTGTGGTTGACCCAAAGGACATTGACACAACCCCAGCTGCCAGTGGGTTAGTTTCTGTGCCGCCTTCTTACGAGCTCTGCTTCATTCCTGTGTGAGGAATGTTAGATCATCTGGCTTCAACTGCCTCTCATTGTGGCATCACTCACCTCTTTCCCTTCAGTTTTCCTGAGAATTCGTTCTCTGACCTCTCATCTCATTGTGCTGTTTCACTGCAGAAATGTATCTGCTATTCTACATATTCTGTAACATTTGTATTGGCCATCACATATGCTAATACTTGTCTAATATTGAGTATTATTATGTAATCAGTACAAAATATAACAAGATGGTTAGTGTATACCAATGGAGAGCCTTCTCCTGTGCATGTTCAAAATAAAAGGCATAATTTGATGAGCCAGTTCTCAGACTCTCCCTCTTTTGTGCATAGTGCATGTACAAAATGGAAGAAAAGGTGCAAAAAGGTCGTGATGTTTCTCCTAATTATATGCCAGTACATCTGGCATTCCAAAGGATAACAGCTTTTGGGGGGGGGGGCTGGAATGAGGAACTCCCTTTATCTTGCTTGTCTTGGAACATTGATAGGACTCAATATACTCTTGAAACCTGGTGAAAGCTAGAACAGAAAAGCAGGCTGCACTAGCATGCAAGTTTGAGACCTTCAGAATCTTTGACTGAGTTGGTTGGTGAGGTTCTTCACCTTCATGAGACTGGTTACTGTAGATTGGGAGAACTGACTGTTGGTGTAATGTGCAAACACCAATGCAGAGTGTCAAGAAAAATGAAGAAGCAGAAGATACATGATTTAACAATAATATATATCAGAATAACAGCCACAAAAATCATTACTGGTTTCAGGAGAACAATAAAGAAATGAAGCAGAAATTTCAACAAAAGAAAATTTAAGGGTACCAAACAGAAGTCAGATAATTAAAGAATGTAATAATTGAACCTAAGACATCATTAGAGGGTTCACAGCAGACTGGATCAAGGAGAAGTGATCAGTGAACTCAAATATATATATTACTGGAGATTATCCAGTCAATCAAGGGAGTGAAAGAAAGACTAGGAAAAAGAAAAGAAAGATTAAGAGATTTATGGAACACCATGAAATGGACCAATATAATAATATAGGAGTCTAGGGGGAGAAGAGAGAAAGAGAAAGGACTAAAAAGCTTATTCAAAGTAACAATGTCAGAAAATCTTCCAAATTTGGGGAAGAAGTGGACATAAAAATCCTGGGTGTATAAAGAACCTCAGATTTAAAAATTCAAAGAAATCCATGCTGAGACACACACTAATTAAATTGTCCAAAATCAATGACCATGACAGTGATAGCAGCCATAGATAATAGCTTGTCATATACAAAGGACCCCACAAAACTGTCAGTAAATTTTAGAGCAGAAACTGACAGGAGAGAAAATAGAACATATCCTCAGAATTCTGAAAGAAAAAATAAAATCTTAGATATGAGGACACTCACAGGCTGAAAGTAAATGGATAGAAATGACTTCCCTGATGGTTCAGCAGTAAAGAAACCACCTGCAGTGCAGGAGATGTGGGTTCAGTCCCTGGATTGGGAAGATTCCTTGGAAGAAGAAATATTCTTGCCTGGAAAATCTGATGGACAGAGGAGACTGGTGGACTGTAGTCCACAGGGTTGCAAAGGGTTGGACATGACTTGGAGACTACACCACCACAACCACATAGTTGAATTTGCAGCGTTGTGTTACTTTCTGCTGTAAATCAAAGTGATTCAGTTATGCATATGTATAGGTTCTTTTTCATATTCTTTTCCATCATGGTTTATCACAGGATATTGCATATAGTTCCCTGTGCTATACAGTAAGACCTTGTTGTTTATCCATCCTATGTTTAATAGTTTGCATCTGCTAGTCTCAAACTCCCAATCCATCCCTTTCCTACCTTTCTTCCCCTTGGCAACCACAAGTCTGTTTTCTATGTCTGTGAGTCTGTTTTGTAAATAAGTTCATTTGTGCAATATTTTAAATTCCACATATAAATGATATCATACAGTATTTGTCCTTCTCTTTCTGACTTACTTCACTTAGTATGATCACTTTTAGGTCCATCTATGTAGCTGCAACTGTCACCTGTTGCTGAGAAGAGGCAAAGAGGGAAATAGATCACATGCAATGCTTATATTAGAAAAGAAAAAAAAAAGGATGTATCTTTATCTAGACTAAGAAAAAAGTAAGACTCAAATAAATAAAATCATAAAGAGAAATCTGTACAACATTACCACAGAATAAAAGGATCATAAGAGACTATTATGACCAATTATATGCCATTGAAGAAAGTCAGAAAAGACATACAGTGAGTTTGAATCAGTAAGAGATTGAATCAGTAATCAACAGCCTCCTGACAAAGAAAAGCCGGGGACCACTTAGTTTCACTCGTGAATTTTAAATACTTAAATGTAGAAGAATTAATGTTAATCCTTTTCAAACTCTTTCAAAATGTGAGGGGAGGGAACACTTCAAAATTCATTTTTTTTTTGAGGCCAGAAATTCTGTGGTACCCAAGTTTGGCAAAGATGCTGCCCAGTAAATAAAACTACAGGTTAGTTAGTATTCCTTATGATGATGGATGTGAATATCTTTGATATAATTCTAGCAGAAAAAATTCAACTGCCCATTAGGAGTATCCTTTCACTATAAAAACACTCAACAAACTAGGAGTGACAAAGGCCACATGAAAAGTGATAGCTAAGATCTTAATGGTGAAAAGCAGAAAGCTCTCTCTAGAAGAAGCTCTCTCTCTTGAAGATCTGGATGGAGTAAATATACTCACTCTCATTACAGATGTCCAATGTACTACTTAAAGGGCTGACTAGAGAAATTAGGCAAGAAAAGGAAGTAAAAGTCATTCAAATCAGGTGGAAGAAATAAAATGATATTTATTCACAGATCACATGATGTTATATGAAAAAAATCATAAAGATTCCATACAAAAAGCCCTGTTAGATCTAATAAATGAATTCAATTTCAATGCAGAGATCATTTTCATTTCTACCTATTAATAATAAACTGTAAATTAAAAAGTAATATCATTTATAGCAGCATAAAAAATAAAAACTTATGAATAACTCAACTAAGGACATGAATAACTTGTACACTAAACAATAGAAAAGTTGCTGAAAGAAATTTAAAAAGATGAGCAAATGAAAAGACATCTGTGTTCATAGATTGAAAGAATTAATGTTGTTAAAATGGCCATAGTACTAAAGCCAACTATGTTTTCAATGCAGTATCTATTAAAACCCTAAAAGTAATTTTTATAGAAACAGAAATAATCCTAAGATTCATATGAAACCACAATGCTTCAAGTAGCAATGCAATCTTGAAAAAGAACACCAATGGGACCTAATCAAACTTATAAGCTATTGCACAGTAAGGGAAACCATAAACACAATGAAAAGGCAAACTATAGATTGGGAGAAAATATTTGCCAACAATACAACTGGAAAGAGCTTACTTTTGAAAATATACAAGCTCATACAACTCAGCAATAAAAAACAAATGGCCCAACTGAAAAATGGACAAATGACCTAATGACCTAAATAGACATTTTACCAAAGAAGACATACAAATGTCTTATAGACAAATGAAACATGTTCCATGTTGCTAATTATTTTAGTAATGGAAATCAAATAAGGTAGCATCTCACACAGGTCAGAATAGATATCATTAGAAAGTCTACCAATAATAAATGCTGGAGAGGGTTGTGGAGAAAAGGGAATCAGCTTACACTGGTGATGAAAATATAAATTGATACAGCCACTATGGAAAATAGTATGAAAGTTTCTAAAAAAACTAAAAATAGAATAACCATGTGATCCAGTGATTCCACTTATGGACATATACCCAGACAAAGCTCTAATCTAAAAAGAAACATGCACCCCTATGTTCACAGCAACACTAGTCACAATAGCTAAGACATGGAAACAACAAAAATGTCCATCAACAGAGGAATGGATCAAGAAGATGAGGTACATATATATAATGGAATAATACTCATGCATAAAAAGGAACCAAATAAAATGCAATATCCAGCAATATGGATTGCAACTAGAGATTATCATACTAAGTGAAGTCAGAAAGAGAAAGACAAATACCATACAATATCACTTACCTGTGGAATCTAAAATAAAACACAAATGAAGATATCTACAAAATAAACCCACAGATACAGAGAACAGACTTAAGGTTGCCAAGGGAGAGGGTGGGTAGGGGAGGGAAGGATTGGGAGTTTGGGATTAGCAGGTGTAAACTATTATATTTAGGATGGATAAACAATATGTTCCTACTGTATAGCACAGGGGACTATAGTCAATATCCTGTGATAAACCATAATAGAAGAGAATATATATTAATATATATATATAACTGAGTCACTTTGCTGTGCAGCAAAAATTAAACACAGCATTATAAATCAACTGCTGCTGCTGCTAAGTCACTTCAGTCATGTCTGACCCTTAGCGACCCCATGGACTGCAGCCTACCAGGCTCCTCCATCCATGGGATTCTCCAGGCAAGAGTACTGATAAATCAACTATAATGCAATAATTTTTTTAAAAAAGAAAACAACAGAGCTGGAGGCATCACACTTCCTAATTTCAAAATTCTAATATATTATATTATGGAGCTATAGCAATTAATCAGTATTGCACTGATGTAAAGATAGACATAAACAGTGCAATGACACTGTATAAAGTCCAAAAATAAATCCGAGCTAATAGAGTCACTTGAACCTTAATTAGTATGCCAAGACTACACAAAGAGCAGTTTTTTCTACAAATAATGCTGGGGAAATAGATACACCTGTTTAAAAGAATGAAATTGGACTCTTATGTTACACTAGATATAAAAATCAACTAAGAATGGGTTAAAGATTAAATGTAAGACCTGAACCTATAACACTTTTGGAAGAAAATATAGGGTGTAAGCTTCATGATCTGAGTTTTGACGATGATTTCATGGATAAGACACTAAAAACACAGGCAGAAAAAGAAAAATTAGACTAGTGGAACTATATAAAAATGAAAAGCTACAAAGCAAAAGGAGTAATCAACAAG